TCCCCGCGATGAAGGCCTCGATCGGCAGCAGCAGCAGCAGCAGCAGCAGCAGCAGCAAGAGCAGCTGGGGCTCTTACTGCAGCAAGAGCTGCTTCATCTCTGCTGCTGCTGCTGCTGCTGCTGCACGTCGCATCTGCTGCAGGTTCCATCTGCTGCTGCTGCTGGCTCTGTGTCTTCTGGTGTGCATCAGCAACGATTTGCTGCTGCTGCCACCAGCAGCAGCAGCAGCAACAACAGCAGCAGCAGCAGCAGCAGCAGCAGCAGACTCGCCTCTGTCTCTTCGGGTGTATGGGCACCTATCTAAAGGGGCCCCCGCAGCCTTATCTTATAGCCGCCCGCTGCTGCTGCGCTTTGCTGCTGCTGCTGCTGCTTCTCCTAGCAGCAACAGCAGCAGCAGCAGCAGCAACAGCAGCAGCAGCAGCAGCAGCAGCAGCAGCGGCAGCTTCCCTTGTTTGCGCCGTTCCCTCCTGTGTCCTCTTTCCTTCCTTTCGGCGCCAGCAGCAGCAGCAGCAGCAACAGCAGCAGCAGCAGCAACAGCAACAGCAGCAGCAACAGCAGCACAGCCTTCATCCCCACGATACAATGTGCGCGGCCAGCTGCAGCAGAAGCAGCCTTTGCTGCTGCTGCAGCAGCAGCAGCGACTGCATGCAGCAGGACCTCTTGCAGCTGCTGCTCTTCCAGCAGCAGCAGCAGCAGCAGCAGGAGCAGCAAGAGCAGCAGCAGCTAAAGTGGGGAGCCGCATAATATCTTGGCTTGGCCGCAGCATCAGCAGCAGCAGCAGCAGCAGCAGCAGCAGCATCTGCAGCAGCAGCAGCATCTGCAGCAAGATAAGCAGCAGCATCATCAGCAGTCTCATCAGCAGCAAACTGATCAGCAGCAGCAGCAGCAGCAGCAGCAGCAGCAGCAGCAAGAGTAGAATAGATGTATTACTGTTACGTGTATGTACGGGTTCAGTTCTTGCTGCTGCTGCTGCTGCTGCAGTGCTGCTGTCTCCTTTATATTTATTTGCTTCTCTTTGTTGGTTTCATTCTATTTTATCTTTATATGAGTTTAACAAACTCTGCAGCAAAAAACATATAAATATTGCTGCTGCTCCCACAGGCCATGCTGCTGCTGCTGCTGCTGTTATTGCTGCTGCTGCAACAGCAAACCCTCATCTACATCTACTCGTAATCCCTAAACCCTAAACCCTAAACCCTACACAAACCCTAAACCCGAAACAAACCCTTTTTTTATTTCTTTATTTGTTTGTTTCTTTATTTGCTTTTTTATTTGTTTGTTTTTTTTTATTTTTTTTTATTTTTTTATTTTTTTATTTTTTTTTCTTTATTTGTCTTTCTTCTTATCTCCCTGTTTTTCTGTTTATTTATTTGTTTGTTTATTTATCTATTTATTTATTTATTTTATTTTTTATTTATTTATTTTATTTATTTATTTAATTTATTTAATTTATTTATATATATGGCTATACCCGGTTGCATATATACCGCCGTGTGTGCTTTGTGTTGCTGCTGCTGCTGCTTTTGCTGCTGCTGCTGCTGCTGCTGCTACTGCCACTGTTGCTGCTGCTGTTGCTGCTGCTACTGCTGCTGTTGCTTCTGCTGCCGTTGCTGATGCTACTGCTGCTGCTGCTGCTGCTGCTGTTGCTGCTGCTGCTGCTGCTACTGCTGCTGCTGTTGCTGCTGCTGCTGCTGCTGCTGTTTCAGGCTGAGGGTGCAGCACTGGGTGGTTTGCTGCTGCTGTCTTTGATGTCTCCTCCCAGCAGCAGGGGGATCGCAGATGTTGCTGCTGCTGTCTTGGCGCATTGCTGCTGCTGCTTTCTCCCCTCCTTTTGGGTTTGTCTTCGTGCTCTGTCTCCCCCTTTAATAACAACAAAACAACCCCCTGCTGCTGCTGCTGCTGCTGCTGCTGCTGCTGCTGCTGCAGGTGGTGCAGCAGCAGCAGCAGCAGAAGATGCAGCAGCAGCAGAAACGCCGGAGACGTCCTATACAGGCAACGACACCACCACCAGCAGCAGCAGCAACAGCAGCAGCAGCAGCAAGAGCAGCAGCAGGCGTGTCTTATCTGCTGCACTGCAGCAGCAGCAGCAGCAGCAGCAGCAGCAGAGAATGGGTTTGCTGCAGCAGTTACGTGGTGTGTGGGGTATAGGCAATACCGTAAAATTATTATTTTATTTATTTTTTGTTTTGTCTCCTTTTTTACATCTGTCTCCTTTTGTATATCTGTCTCCTTTTATATTACCTCTGCTGTCTCCTTTTGCTTCTGTATTTCTGTCTCCTTTTCTGTCTCCTCGCTTGTCTTTGTCTTTTATTTTTAAGGGTTTATATCTATGGTCCCCCCGTGTCTTGGTGTTGTGGGGTTTGCTGCTAGTTTGTATCCACGATACCTCTGCTTATATATTTGGTTCTTATTGGGGCTCAGCTCGCTTGTCTTCTCTTTTTTCTGCATGCACACAGCAGCAGCAGCAGCAGCAGCAGCAGCAGCAGCAGCAGCAGCAGCAGCAGCAGCAGCAGGAGCAGCAGCAGCAGCAGCAGCAGGAGAGGGAGTTGCTGCTGCTGCCTCCTGCTGCTCTTGTATCCCCAAAAAAAACGGTTCTAGGTCTTGCTGCTGGTGCTGCTGCTGCTACTGCTGCTGCTTCTCTTCTCACACTCGCCATCACTGCTGCTGCTGCACGCACTGCAGCACAACATATACTACAACCAACACAGGGGATCGTCTCCTCACCCCACACCGGGATCGTCTCCTCACCCCACACCGGGATCGTCTCCCCCCCACACCCTGGGGCTGGGATCGTCTCCCCACACACGGGGATCGTCTCCCCACACACCGGGATCGTCTCCTCAGGGCCTGGGATCGTCTCCGCCCCACACCCTGGGATCGTCTCCTCAGGGCCTGGGATCGTCTCCCCACAGCCTGGGGCTGGGATCGTCCCCTCAGGGGCTGGGATCGTCTCCTCCCCCCCACACCCTGGGATCGTCTCCCCCCACACCGGGCCTGGGATCGTCTCCCCACAGCCTGGGGCTGGGATCGTCTCCCCCCACACCGGGCCTGGGATCGTCTCCCCCCACACCGGGCCTGGGATCGTCTCCCCACAACATAAAGGGGCTGGGATCGTCTCCTCCCCCCCACACCTTGGGATCGTCTCCTCCCCCCATGCTGGGGCTGGGATCGTCTCCCCCCCACACACGGGGATCGTCTCCCCGCAGCCTGGGGCTGGGATCGTCTCCTCCCCACACCCTGGGATCGTCTCCTCAGGGGCTGGGATCGTCTCCTCCCTGTGTCCCCCCGGCACCCCACAAGTGTCTCCTTTGGGGCGTTTTGGGCGTTTTCTTGCGCAGAATTTAATTGAGTCTTTCTTGCCGCAGCAGCAAACACCAGCAGCAGCAGCAGCAGCAGCAGCAGCAGCAACACCAGCAGCACCAGCAGCAGCAGCAACAGCAGCAGCAGGAGCAGCAGCAGCAGAAAAAACAATAAACCCTAAACAACAAACAAGAATAAAGCCAATAAACCCCCACCACAACGAAGAAGAAGAAAGACAAGCAGCAACAGCAGCAACAGCAGCAGCAGCAGCAACAGCAGCAGCAGCAGGAGCATCAACAGAAAGGAAAAAAAAAAGAGATAGATTATATTCTTGGTGTATAGTATATATATTCGGGTGTATAATAGGTTTATATATATCAGCAGCAGCAACAACAGGTGACCTCATCGCCAGTTTAATAAAGAGAAATGCAGGCGTCAAGGATACTGGGCGTTTCCTCCCGGGGCATGGGGGATGGATAGACAGAACAGACGCACATATACTTGTGGGGCCCCCAATGCATGCATGCGCTCTGCTGCTTTATAAATTCTTACAACTCATACAATACACTGCAACACGCATGCGCCAGCAGCAGCAGCTGCAGCAGCAGCAGCAGCAGCAGTTGCAGCAGCAGCAACTGCAGCAGCAGATGGAACTGCAGCAGCAGCAGCAGCAGCAGCAGCAGCAGCAACAGATGAAGCAGGAGCTGCAGCTAGAACAGCAGCAGGGGGAGGAAGAACAACAACAACAGCAGCAGCAGCAGCAGCAACAGCAGCAGCAGCAGCAGCAACAGCAGCTCAGAAAACGACGCGCCAGTGGCTCACGCAAGAGAGATCCTGCTGCAGCTGCTGCTGCTGCTCCTGCTCCTGCTGCTGCTGCTGCTGCAGCACGACGCCGCAAAGGCACCTAATCATAGGGGCCCCCAGGGGGCCCCTAGGGAGTCCTTGAAGACTCCAGTGCATGCATGCATGCATGCACGCATGCATGCATGCACGCATGCATGCATGCATGCAGACACATTGGGGCTGCATGCATTCATGCATGCCGTTTTGGGCTCTGCATGCATCCAAACATTTTGGGGCTGCATGCATGCAAGTATGCATGCATGCATGCACGTTAGAGCTGCATGCATGCATGCATGTGCATAGAAGCTGCACGCATGCATGCATGCATGCATGCATGTGCATAGGGGCTGCATGCATGCATGCATGCATGCATGCATGCACTTTAGAACTCATGCCTGCATACACGTTAGAGCTGCATGCATGCATGTATAGTATAGCTCTGAAGGGCTTTATAGACTGTATTAACTCTCCTATTGTTTTGTTTGTCTGCTCTATCTCTTCCCTGTTGCTGCTGCTGCATCTGCTGCTGCTGCTGCATCTGTTGCTGCTGCTGCTACGTCTGTTGCTGCTGCTTCCCTATCTGCTGCTGCTGCTGCAGCTGGTGCTGCTGCTGCTGCAGCTGGTGCTGCTGCTGCTGCTGCTGCTGCTGTGCATGCAAAATTATTTAGAGTTAAGTATTGGGGTGTACGTGCAGCTAGGAGAAAGCAAATATATTTTTGTTTTTTATTTTTGTTTTTATAGTTTTA